GCAATAGTACCTAAATTGTTAATCAAGTCCGACTTAGTCATGCCAATACCGGTGTCAATGATAGTCAATGTGCCAGCAGTTTTGTTAGGAATCAATTTGATGTACAGCTCCTTGCCGGTCTTTAGTTTCGATGGATCGATCAACGATTCGTAGCGAATTTTATCCAAAGCATCAGATGCATTAGAAATCAATTCACGCAAGAAAATCTCTTTATTCGAATAGAATGTGTTGATAATCAGCGACATAAGCTGAGCGATCTCAGCTTGGAAAGCAAATGTTTCAGCTTCTTCTACCATCTTGAATTATGTGTTAAAATTATTTGTAATAAATAAAAATTTTCTTTTTGTTGTTTTTGTTTTTAGTCACTTCAAAAAAAATAATTTCTTTTAAAATGTCTTTGACATCGACAAGACCAGTTATGTTTAACCTTCGCTTCAATAGTAATACTAACGGATTGTTCGCATATGACTTTATAGCTCGCTTAACACTGTGGAAAGAAGTAGAATATTATCGAAGAAACTACCCTCATTTCCGTCGCCGTTGCTAAGGATTATGTAGTTATTTATAGTCACTATTTAAGCAGAGTCGCATTTATGTACAGATAATGTATTTTTTTGCAGCCATTAATTTGGAAATATACGATGAGAATGCTGCCTTGATTAAATACGTAAATACTTATTTTTGATGGCACTTTAACTGATGATTGTTTAGACATTTCAATTTTTCGTTAATAAGAATTGAAATCAATATCTTCTTGCTTTAGAGTTGCATTTTCTGTCGTTGAAATCATACTTTACACATATTGGATTATTGCTGTTTAAAAGAATCATCGAAAAAAATTTCAATATATTAGTCTAATTAATTACGTTTTATTGCTCATTGTTGGGGTGTTTTTGTCGCACTCGGCAGTAAAACGCAATTCTGCACAGTATTGGATGAATACTGTGTAAAATTGATGTATAAATGGTGCCAAGTTTTTGCTTAGTGGATAAGAGCAATAATCCCAATCGCTAACAAAAACATATGTAATTGTTGTGAACGAATAGGCGGAGGGAAAAGAAAATTTGTGAAAGTTATGAAAAACTTATGAAGGCTTTGTTAGAACAAGGCAAACATAACCTTGCCTTATATTTTGATGGAAAAGAAGACAACCATGGTTGTATTATAAACTTTTTTGGCGGATGTAATTATTTTTATTAAGCAAAAAAAAGAAAAGTTCTCCTTTTTCTTTTCATTTATTTTTGTTTTAAATTGAAGCAATTCTACATATTACGGAAGTGAAGCCAAAATCTATCTAAATCCACTCATCTAAGGATTTTCCCTAATAGAAAGACGGAAAAAATGAAATATTAACTGAGAAACCCGTACATTCTACTATTAACGCTTGAACAAGCTGATGTAAGAGGAGCAAATTGGAAAAGCGCGGTAATGCGAATTGAAACCCAACGTTGCTTATAATTGCTAAACAGCAATTTATTATTGTTGGTGTAGGCAAATGGATATGAAGTTTTAAGCTAAAGTTGTTACGCTGTCGCTTTCCTCTCATAAAAGTGGTAACACTGACTTACAACTAAATGTGAATAATAGGAGGGGTTTTAAGGAGAAGATAATTAATGATTCTATGAAATTTTGGAAGTATTAATTAAACTATGTTTAATGAAAAAAATAAAATATATGTTTAGTTATTACTACCGATGTTAACGCCAAAAGTAAGCAATAAAATTTTCTACTTGTACATCTCAAGCAAGAAATTTTTTTTGGATGAAGGCACATACTTAAATTTTGCAACAAATGGTATTATCTAGGAAATAATGCAAACAGAAATATCTAACATGGTATCAAAACGTTAGGATGATATGACGCAAGGACGGTATGAATATTAACATTACTATAGTTGTAAAATTGCATCAACTTGTCCTTTATCGTCCATCCTATGACCAATTTTTTGTTAATTTTTTCAAAATGAAACTGTTAAGAAGATTGAGAAGATATGTTTGACTTAAAATCTAAAGCAGGCTTTATGTTCACATTTACTATTGAAGAAATTTTATGTGCATCCGGTTTTCACTATCTGCATTAAGCGTTGTTTCCACACTTGCTTCATTGCTTGCATAATCTAAAGTATAGCATTGTTATACATAGCATTTTAAGGGTTTTTGTCATACCATTTGATTGTCTCTACGGCGCCTCTCTATATGGTAGGGCACCATATTTCGTGCAGTAATAAGGGCAAAGTAATTCAAAAGCAATACACTGGTAATGCATTGATGAAAATATATTTATACGCTTTAAACGGTTATTTCTGCTCCCTTTTCGTTTTATTGATTATTGCATATTTTCGTTGACGTAATATATTCGATTCAAAATATAACGCCAATATTTCAAATAAAATATCTTTCGTAATTGAACCTCTTTTATCCTTTTATAGTTTACATGCTCTCTTGAGTCTGACGCTTTAGACCGCTCGGTCATCCTGGGATAAACGTGTAGTAGTGACTTTAGACGTGCTAGACGAGTAACACGAAAAAATTAAAAAATAACGTGGCGGGCGTATAACGCAAAAATTAGCAAGGTTGATTTAAATCGGATTTAATTACGAAATGTAAAGACGTAATAAAATAATTAAATAAAGAAAAAATATATACCAGTACTAACTTCCAACCTTATTAAGTGCCGAAAAAAGAAGTTCGCGTTCACATAAGGCCCTTTCTACACGTCACAGCGCCTTTCGCTTGTTGTACACTACACTAAACAACAATTAACTGTGCTGAATTTTGAACATGCACCTCAATTTTTGAACATCTTGGTCACAAGATTCCGCATTTTTGCGGAAACTAAGCCTTTATTTGCAAAGTGGTCTAATTTTTAATATACAGTTCCATAATAGTAAGTTGATATGAAAACAGGGTACAAATGTTGCGTTCCGGGGCTTTTAAGACCCGTATGTACTCTTGAGCAATAGAAAATGCTCTCTGTCTAATCGCCTCTTCTTCTATAGTCTTTGTCAATCACAAAAGAGGAGTTACTTCATAAGTGTTCTCGGCGGCAAACTATGTAGATCCATCCAAGTCTCCATCGCTGCACGGCGTAAGAACAGAGTGCAGAGTGCTAAGGGGATAAAACTTATAGAAATAGTAAAAAAACTTCTCTATCAACAGACTCCCAAAAATATCGTTAGTAGTAAACAGATTCTAGTAAAAGAAGCGCAAAAGGAAAAGCAAGAAATTGTGGTTTTTTTCGAATTTTATTTTCATCGAATAAAGAATTTAATCAACTTCCTCCATATGGGATGCGTCCTCAGTGTCATCCATTAACGGCGGAGAATCACCGACACTTTGAGCATCTTCAGTAGCTATTGGTTCATCGTCGTCAATGCCAAGGCCAAGCTTTATCATACGATAAATGCGGCTGGCATGGGTTTGAGGACTTTGCAGGGAGAAGCCAGATGACAGTAGAGAAGTTTCGAACAACAAAATGACCAAATCTTTCACAGCTTTATCATTTTTATCGATTTCAGCTTTTTGTCGTAATATCTCGATAATGGGATGGTCAGGATTGATTTCTAAATGCTTCTTGCCAGACATGTAGCCCATGGTAGAGGTATCACGCAAAGCCTGGGCTTTCATAATACGTTCCATATTGGCTGACCAGCCGTATTGAGAGGTGACAATACAGCATGGCGATTCAACTAAACGATTTGACACAGTGACTTTGTCTATCTTGCTGTCAAGTATCGATTTCATAAGCTTGCACAAATTTTCCAATTTAGCTTTATCTTCTTCACGTTTCTTCTTTTCAGCTTCATTCTCTGGTAATTCCAAGCCTTCTTTGGTTACAGATACCAACTGCTTGCCCTTATATTCTTTCAAATGCTGGATTATATACTCATCAATAGGGTCGGTCATGTATACTACCTCAAAACCACGCGCTTTAACTCGTTCAACGAAAGCCGAATCAGCCACTTGTTCTTTGGATTCACCAGTGATGAAGTAGATATATTTTTGAATATCCTGCATACGTGACACATAATCAGCTAGTGAACAGAACTCATCGCCAGAAGCCGAGGTGTGAAAGCGTAAGAAATCGGCTATTTTGGCACGATTGCTACTATCTTCGTGAACACCTAATTTGAGGTTTTTATTGAATTGATTATAAAACTTTTTGTAAAGCTCCTTATCTTCAGCAAGTTCCTCAATTAGTTCCATGGTTTTCTTAACGAGATTCTTACGAATAACTTTTAGGACTTTATTTTGCTGCAACATTTCACGAGAAATGTTCAATGGCAAATCCTCAGAATCAACAACACCTTTGATGAAATTCAAATATTCGGGAATGAGATCTTCGCAGTTGTCCATGATAAAGACACGGCGTACGTACAATTTAATATTATTACGCTTCTTTTGGTTTTCAAACAAATCGAAAGGCA